TCGGAGTTTTCTTTCCGCGAGCGAGTCTCGATGCATTACCGGCCAGCCAGACGAAAGTTTTATTGATTTCCACCGCGTGATTCATCCCTCCCGAAAGAACTCGAAGCGATCTTTGACCCCGAAACGCGAATAAAATCACCATCCCGCTCGTCACAACGCGTGATGAGAGCAGGAGTAATACGCGATATTCTGTTTACCTTTTGTCCAAGCTTCCCATTCATGGCGTCCGGCCATGGGAAGTTTGAACATTTCGCCCTTCGCGTTATTTATTATCGGACTTGAGTTTGTTCGTTCGCTCCTCGTCGTTGCTGTCCCTCGTTCACCCACGTTCACCAGTCGTTCTACTTGAGCACGTTACAATATAGATTCATGTCACTGTTTTCTCGCGCGTATACACGCGCCGACGCGCATGTAGCGACACATACACTTTCATGCACACTTAACACATACACTACACGTATGTTATTTCTCGCGACCGCGATATTTCCAGACTCGACCGCGTAAACTAGCTTGTAAGGACAGGCAGTGACTGCTTTGACCGTCGTTAAATTAACCGCAATTACCATCGTCCCCGGGGGCCCACACACGCTTTCTCACGCACACGCGCCTATTGCGACAGTCAGCAAACGCGAGTAGAAGGCAGGCGCGGTGAGAATAATCAATAATTGATACTGAAGTATCAACGAGGCAAAGTATCCGTGCCATATCGATACCGGAAGTTGCGTCCGGCATAACCGACCGACTGACGCCAGTAGCGATGTCGTACACGAATAAAAAAAGATCTGGAAGAGAGATGCACGTCTTTTTTTCTCCTCCGTCTTTCACTCGATTTTTTAACTCGCGATGAGAAACGGTACCGGCGACAAAACGAAACGGAGCGGAGCATCGTTCCTCTCGGCACGGCGGTGTCGTTGCTCCAGCGCCGGCGACGGGAGGCCGGAGGAGGGAGGGTGGTTAGTTAAGTGGTTGGCTGAGATCGAACTAGATGGTCGCCAGGCAACCGGATTTTCCATCTCATTCTCTCACGCGCGAATACAAGTCTCTCTCCCCTTTCCCGTCCTTCTGCCTGGCCATGTTGCCGACTTACTCGTTCGTTCGTTCGGCTACGACACGCTCTCTCTTATTCTATCATATTCGCTTTGCTCCGCGACGCATCGCGGACTCTTCCTCCCGCATACGCTACACGCACATACACCACCTCCTACGCTGCTTCTCACGCGCTCACCCTTCACGTGCCAGAGGATGCAACGAAGGATCTTTCTTCTTTTCTAGATGCTGCACTGTGCTTTGGCGCTAATAACGCCCGTAATTAAAATGCGTGATACTCAACGTCTCACTTTTATACTCGAAAAGATACGTTTTTCGGGCAAAATAATTTTTTAAAAAAAGCTCTAATAATTTTAACTATCAGAACTTTTTGAAAAGGCATTGTGCATGCCCAGAACTATACGAAAACTGATTTGGAATAAACAGAACTCTTGAAAATCAACCGGCGTCTCATCTGTATATCTATAGATACAAAGATTTGCTTGTTCTTATTTTATCTTTATTAATATTTTTTTGCTTTTAGAAAGTGGAACTCTTCTTAAAACTCTTGTAGAACTATAAATCTTTTAAATTCTAACAATTATTGACAGCGCCGCATTTATACTTTTGGAGGCTCTAGGCGCAACATCATTATGAGGTCTCAAAAGAACAAGTCTATTTCAGTTAATCAAATTCATACGCATTTTTTTTAAGTTATGGAAAATAAAAGTCGGCATGCATTACATGATGCAAAAAGGCGTAATTTAATAAACAATTACCGCTTACAAATTTTTCAGCGGCCTCTAGTTTTTATATTATAAATTTAATATTTAAAAGTAAATATTTTATTTTGCAACTATAACTAGGCTGTTTTTTATATTGTCATTAGTGAGGAGTAAGATTTCAAAATGAGGCCCCAGCTTGCGCCTAATGCGCCTTATGGTGAATGCGGCCGTCATTATTGATAAAGAAAATGTCGTAGGACAAAGTCTATAATTCTATAATAATTCTATAATATTTTTATTTTAAATTATTCAGCATCCATATACATTGTAAAATATATATATTATAGAATATATATTATATATATAGTGATGCTCAATCGTGTAAATGCTGATAGTCAATAGGACAGACTAAAATAGTAAAGAACTCTTTGGTACGAGAGTGCGTACTGCTTCCGTTTCTGAGCATTCATCGTGGGCGAGTACGAAAACTAAAATCGGTCCGGAAATCTACGCCGGAAATAGCCGGTCGGCGCCGTACGACTTCTGGCGTAGGTAGGCCGATATATACAAAAGCTACGCTGCGAAATGCCTCAGAACAAACCGAGACGCCAACTTCACGCAGCGTCTCACTTTGTTCTACGACATTTTCTTTATCAATAATTGTTAGAATTTAAAAGATTTATAGTTCTACAAGAGTTTTAAGAAGAGTTCCACCTTCTAAAAGCAAAAAAATATCAATAAAGATAAAATAAGAACAAGCGAATCTTTATATCTATAGATATACAGATGAGACGCCGGTTGATTTTCAAGAGATCTGTTTATTCCAAATCAGTTTTCGTATAGTTCTGAGCATGCACAATGCCTTTGCAAAAAGTTCTGATAGTTAAAATCATTAGAACTTTTTTTAAAAAATTATTTTGCCTGAAAAACGTATCTTTTCGAGTATAAAAGTGAGACGCTGGTCGATTTTCGAGAGTTCTATTTATTCCAAATCACTTTTCGTATAGTTCTGGGCATGCACAATGCCTTTCCAAAAAATTCTGATAGTTACAACAATTAGAACTTTTTTTAAAAAAATATTTTGCTCAAAAAACGTATCTTTTCGAGTATAAAGATGAGATGCTGGTTGATTTTCAAGAGTTCTGTTTATTCCAAATCACTTGTCGTATAGTTTTGGGCATGCACAATACCTTTCCAAAGAGTTCTGATAGTTACAACAATTAAAACTTTTTTTAAAAAATTATTTTGCCCGAAAAACGTATTTTTTCGAGTATAAAGGTGAGACGCTGGTCGATTTTCACGAGTTCTGTTTATTCCAAATCACTTTTCGTATAGTTCTGGACATACACAATGCCTTTCTAAAGAGTTCTAATAATTACAACAATTAGAACTTTTTTTAAAAAATTATTTTGCTCAAAAAACGTATCTTTTCGAGTATAAAGGTGAGACGCTGGTCGATTTTCAAGAGTTCTGTTTATTCCAAATCACTTTTCGTATAGTTCTGGGCATGCACAATGCCTTTCCAAAGAGTTCTGATAATTACAACAATTAGAAATTAAAATAAAAAATTATTTTGCCCGAAAAACATTTCTTTTTGAGTATAAAAGTGAGATGCTGGTCATATGTCGATAGTTCTATCGATTTTAAATGACATTTCATGTCAGTCCGTAATCACTTTTTATTTTTACGAAAAGTTCTATGCGTAAAAGTTATTAGAATGTTGATTAAACAAATTAAATCTCTCGAGACGTTGGACGTATAAATACCGAGCTATTGAGGTGAGACACTAATCGTTTTTCTACAACGTTATGGATTTAAAAATTTTTATTTCAGTGTGTAAAAATGTATTGTTTTAAATGTACTTATCTTGTTCTTAGCATAACCCAGAATCACGGCGTTGACATTTAAAACAATACACTTTTACACAGAGAAATAAAAATTTTTTAATCTATGACGTTGTAGAAAAACGATCAGCGTCTCACCTCGATAGTTCAGTATTTATACGTCTAGCGTTTCGAATGATTTAATTTGTTTAATCAACATTCTAATAACTTTTACGCATAGAACTTTTCGTAAAAATGAAAAGTGATTACGTGACTGACATGAAATGTCATTTAAAATCGATAGAACCATCGACATATGACCAGCATCTCACTTTTATACTCAAAAAGAAATGTTTTTCGGGAAAAATAATTTTTTATTTTAATTTCTAATTGTTGTAACTGTCAGAACTCTTTGGAAAGGCATTGTGCATGCCCAGTAATTATACGAAAAGTAGAAGTTTGGAATAAACAGAACTCTTGAAAATCGACCAGCGTCTCACCTTTATACTCGAAAAAATACGTTTTTGTGGCAAAATAATTTTTTAAAAAAAGTTCTAATTGTTGTAACTATCAAAACTTTTTGGAAAGGCATTGCGCATACCCAGAACTATACAATAAGTGATTTGGAATAAACAGAACTCTTGAAAATCGACCAGCGTCTCACCTTTATACTCGAAAAGATACGTTTTTCGGGCAAAATAATTTTTTAAAAAAAGTTCTAATGGTTTTAAATATCAGAACTCTTTGGAAAGGCATTGTGCATGCCCAGAACTATACGAGAACTGATTTGGAATAAACAGAACTCTCGAAAATCAACCGGTGTCTATCTGTATATCTATAGATATAAGGATTCGCTTGTTCTTATTTTATCTTTATTGATATTTTTTTGCTTTTAGAAGGCTGAACTCTTCTTAGAACTCTTGTAGAACTATAAATTTTTAAAATTTTAACAATTATTGATAAAGAAAATGTCGTAGGACAAAGTGAGACGCTGCGTGAAGTTGGCGTCTCAGTTTGTCCTGAGGCATTTTCGTTGGTTTAATAGCCAGAACTCTTAATTATTTGTGAGTTTCCGCGAAATGATACGTCAGCTTCACACACAAATAATTAAAATTTAAATCGAGCTATTTTTTTATTTTGACTTCTGTAGATTTATTTTAACGGGAAATTTAATGCTGCAATTTAATATATATATATATATAAAATATGGAAAAACAGTTAATATTATACGTTTTTTTTATTTTATAATAATTTAGCATATTATGTCTGGCTGGGACAAAATCAAATAAATTACAAATATCTGATAATAAAAATCAATAGAAAAGTGTAGGCTCCAATAATTTAACAAATAATAATAATAAATAAAAAGGCAGAAAGAGCAGTTGCTAGTTATTCATACAGTATAATTTCTCTTAGTGTACATCGACAAACGTTTTGACCTAGATTAGACCTTTATCAGTGTCATACAATATAAACATAATAAAATTTAACAAGTAACAGAGAATTTCATGAACGTCGAATCAATAAGCATATAATTTTCATGGTACTCAATGGCACATGAAAGCTCACTAATTTCATTCCACGCCACGAAAATTATATGCTTATTGATTCGACATTCATGAAATTCTCCGTTACTTGTTAAATTTTATTATGTTTATATTGTATAACACTGATG